CCGGCGCTCAGAGCCGGGCGGGGCGGCTGCACGGCGCCGGGCCCCCGCGGTCGGGCGCAGCGCGGAACCGTCCCGGCCCCATGCCGAGCGCCGCCGTCGTTAAGCCCCGCCATGGGCGGCTGCGTGGGGCGGCAGCGCCGGGAACGGCCCGCCGCCGGGAACACCCGCAAGCGAGCAGGTGAGTGGGGCCGGGCCCACCGGGGCCGTCCCGCCGGGGAGCCCTCGGGATCGCGGGCACCGGGGGTGGGGGGGTCCCCGTGCACCCTGGGGGGAGGGTGGGCACCGGAGAGGCACGGTCCGTGGGTGCGGGGGGGGATCCTGTCCCGTGCACACCCCCGGCAGCCGTTCTGTGCCCCCGGGGCTCCCCGGGCACCGGGGGTTCCCGTCCGGGAGCGGGCAGGTACCGCGGCGCCCAGGGGGGTTTGCAGGGTCAGGGCCGGGGAGCACGGAGCGTCCCGCCCGGTCCCTGCCTCCTCCCGGGGGGTGCAGGGTGGGGGGTGGTCCCGGTTTGTGGTCGGTAGTGTCCCCCCGACGCCCTGCTCGCCCCGGGGCCGGTGCTGCCCGTACACCGGGGCGCTGCCGACGGGCACAACCCCGGCCCCGCTCCCCTAGGGCTTCGGGAGGTGCCGGGAACCGGGTATGGAGCGGCTGTGCCCGTCCCGAGGGGGTGTTAGAGCCGCCCCCGGGGTTACCGGCAGCCGAATCCCCCGGTGCTGTGAGGTGCTTCCCCGGGAGGGTCCCGGAGGCCACGGGGATGGGCACGGCTACCTGCCGGCAGAGAGGACGTGGGCCGGTGGGGGTGAATCACGCCTGCCTCCCCCCTCGCCCTCCTCCCCGGTGGGTCGGTGCAATCGCAGCCGGTAATTACCGTGTTTATGGCAAAGCAGGGGTAGGCGGCGGGAGAGGAGGAGCAGGAAGCGTGTGCCCGGGAACGGGGCGCCCTGGCCCTCGCCCGCAGCGGGGATGCAGGCGGGAGGGAGGGAGGGAGGGAGGGAGTTCTTCCCGTGGGATGGTGGTGCCCGCTCTGGCAACGTGCCTGGGGTGCCGTGGGTGCTGGCTGGGATTGGGTTGATGGCCCCCTGTGCAGCCCCCCAGCTTGCTGTCCCACCACGCTCTGGCACCCAGGGGTGCAGGTGCCAGCAAGTCCTGGGGTCTCCAGATGTTGCCTCCTACCTCGGGGCTGCCGTGGCTGTGGGGGTTGATCCCAACATCTGGATCCGTGTGCTCACCTCCTGTGCCGGGCAACAGCTGGCCACGGAGCCTGCGTCTCCATCGCTGCCACTCACTCCCTGCCAGGCTCTGCTGGGATGGGCCATGGTCTTCTCCTGGTGCCCCTGTGTCCGCAGCAGCTGCCGCTTTCACAGAATCACAGAACTGTCTGGGTTGGAAGAGACCTTTAGGATCATCTAGTCCAACCAGCAACCTCACTCTGACCAAAAAAACCACCCCTGCTTTCTCACAGTGTGTCCCTTCCCGGGGGAAGCGGGGTGTCCCCGGTGCCGGGGTGCTCACGCTGGCTCCCATCCTTGCTTGCGTGGCTCCACCGGCCCCTGGGAGCCCCCCGACAGGCCGTGGAGGATGAAGCAAGGCTGCTGCTGCCCTCGCCCGCAGTGCGGGGACACAGCCCCGGGCCAGCAGGTCCCAGCGCGTGAGGACCTGCCATCGGCGAGGAGGGTGCTCTGCCTGCTTGTCTCAGCTGCCCTGCCAAGGAGCCCTCCTGCCCTGGCTGGGGCTTGCTGTGACCCCCTCCCGAGGGGTCCTGCTGGGGCTCCCCACAGGAGGTGACAGCGTTGTCCCTGGGGCGGCCAGCCTGCTGCAGCAGGAGGAGCGGGGGATGCTGGTGGCCTGCAGCATCCCTGGCCTGGGGGGGACCAGCTGGCACCACTGGAAGCGATGTCATCTGGCTGGTATCTCCTCCAGGACCTGCCAGCTGGGGATACCCAAGGCTCTGACCGGGGCAGGGGACCCCCTGGGGCGCAGCCTTCTGCCTGGGGGGGTCCCCGCTCTGCGGCACCACGAGGAAGGGGGGGGCTGAGCCACAGGCAGGGTGCTGCAGGCACAGGGCAGGAGGCAGGCAGGCTGCCAGCCAGATCCTGTTGGCTCGAGCCTGGGCGCAGCGAGTGGCCGGACCTGTCCGGCGATGCTGCCGTGGAGAGTTGCACAAGGGGCCAGGAATAGAGAGCGGCAGGAGGTGATTAGAGGCTGCGGGGCCTGGCTGGGCGGCAGCAATAAATAGACGAGGCTTAAGTCCCTGCCTACCTGGGCACGGCTGCCGGGCACGCCTGCCCGTGTGGGGCAGCCACAGCCTGTCCCCGCTCCCTGCCGTAGCCGAGCCCCGCGGCTCCGATCCTGCTGCCTCCCCCCCGGGGCCAGTCTCTTCCCTTTGCTGCCAGCGAAGCCAGAGGGATGGTGCTGGCTGGCAACCCTGCTGTGCGCCACGGGCTCAGCTGCGAGGGTGCCTGCCCGGCCTTGGTGGCCGCAGCAGCGTGGAGACGTGGTCCTGACGGTGTCCTTGGGGCTGGCCGTGACCGCTGCTCTGCCGTCCTCCCGGGGCAGGTGCTGCCTCCGACCTTGCTCTATCCTGCGGTGCTGCAAATCCCTCCTGCCCGCCACCGTGACTGCTGAATCGGCAGCGCTGGCTGCGGCCCGCTGCCCTCGCTCCTCCTGGGATGATGCTACCCAGCAGGGATGCTCAGTGTCCCGCCCGGGGGTGGCCCAGCTCCTGTACCCCATGGGGGACCCCTGGGGTGGGTGCCACGTGTCGTATCCCACTCTGGAACAGGCACTCACTGGGAGAGCGGGTGCTGTGCTGGCTCCAGTGGTCTTGCACGGGGGTGGGGATGAGGCTGGTACAAAATAAAGGTTATGTAGTGCCTTGTGTCACCACACGCTCGCCCAGGGAAAGCTGCCTGGGGAATGTGGCTCAGCCTGCAGCTGGCAGCGGGGGCTGTGCCCAGTGGCTGGGGTGTGTGACATCACCTTGTGATGGTGATGGTCACGGTGCGGTGAAGGTCACGGTGCGAGCACAGGAGTCCTTCCTGCCCGGCTGGGGCTCCGCATCCCCCCGTGTCCCGTCCCTGCAGGAAGGGTGCTGGCTGGTCACCCCAGAGAGAGGGGCGGCAGGAAGGAGCTGTTGTCACTCATTGTCCCCTGCTCAGCTGGGAGTGACAACAGCTCCTTCCTGCCCCACGCTTCCCACCCAGCTGTGGGGCTGACAGGATGGGGCTGTTCCCACGGGGCTGCAGCCTGGCGTAGGGAGGGCAGGGTGGTGTGGGGCTGGCGTGGGGGGTACGTGGGTACAAGGTTGGGGGCCGTTTCATGGAGAGCCTGCTGAGTTCAGCTGCTGCAGGCTGGCAGCCCCCCATCCTGGTGAATCCCCCTGCCCTCTGGGTGCTGTGTCCCTGCTGTCTTGTCCAGAGCTGGTCCCTGCCACCCTGGGGTGGGCAGAGAGGACCGAGAAGTCCTGCCCCTTGCCCTGCCAGGGCTGCAGCTCAGTCCCTGTAATCCCCTTCCCACTCAGACTCACCAGCTTATTTCCTGGCTAATTCCACAGGCTATAAATACTGCTCTGCCTCAAAGGGCCCTGAGGCCCTACGGCTACCCCATGGGGCAGGGACTGGTCCCTTTACCATGGGGGCAAGAGCCTGTGTCCCTCCTGGGGGCAAGGGGTGCCACTTGGGAAGGGGGCTGCTATGGGGCCAGTGGGACCTTGGGCAGGTTTGCCCTGGCCGTGCTGGGCAAGGTGGTCCCTTGGACACTGCTGTGTATGGTGCGAGGGGTCCCCAGGAGCCCCTGGGGGTGGGGAGATGGGGGACTTGGGGTCCAAGGGGGAACCTCTCCCTTGGCTGAACATCCCCCTCCCCTCCCCAGGCCGCAATGAGCCCCTGAAGAAGGAGCGTCCAAAGTGGAAGAGCGACTACCCCATGACGGACGGGCAGCTGCGCAGCAAGAGGGATGAGTTTTGGGACACAGCACCTGCCTTTGAGGGACGTAAGGAGATCTGGGATGCCCTAAAGGCAGCTGCCTATGCCGTGGAGGCCAATGACCACAGCCTGGCCCAGGCCATCCTCGATGGAGCCAGCATCACCCTGCCCCACGGTGAGGAATGGCCATGGGGGTGCGGGTGGGGTGGGTGCTGCCCCATATCTGGGCTCATGGGGGTCCCAGGTTGGAGAGGAGAGTGGTTCCCTCCACAGGCTGCCATCTGTGGAGCTCAGCCCAGCCAAGGACGGCAAGGCAGGCTCTGCCCCACTGCCTGGGGTGTCCCTGTCCCCTTTTGGGTGGTCTTTGGGGATGCCCAACCGCAGCATCTCACCCTGCTGTCCCCAGGGTCCCTGACGGAGTGCTACGATGAGCTGGGCAACCGGTACCAGCTGCCCGTCTACTGCCTGGCTCCTCCGGTCAACCTGATCCTGGAGCGGAGCGAGGAGGAGGCGGCGGAACCAGCCGAGCCCCTGCCCAACGCCCGCCGGGAGTTCGCCCTCAAGGTGCGTCTCTCCACCGGGAAGGACCTGCGGCTCAGCGCCAGCATGGGCGACACCATCGGGCAGCTGAAGAAGCAGCTGCAGGCGCAGGAGGGCATCGACTTGGCCTGGCAGCGCTGGTTCTTCTCGGGCAAGCTGCTCACTGACCGCACGCGGCTGCAGGAGACCAAGATCCAGAAGGATTTTGTCGTGCAAGTGATCGTCAACCAGCCCCTGCCACCGAGGAACTGACCCCCCTCTCCCCCCCAACACTGGTTGCAGGGAGGGGGGCTGGGGGCAGTGGCACTTCTGGGGATGCACCGTGTTGTGTCCCAGCCCTGCCAGAGCGGGGGCAGCCCCTGCTCCCCCCTCCCTCACCCGCCAGGCTGCCCCCCAACCTGGGTGACCCCCCCCACGGAAGGACTGTGCGGGGCTGTGGGGCTGCGGTGGCTCCTCTGGGCTGGGGACACGAGCAGGTGCTGCCTTTGCTGAAGAGGTTTGAGACCAAATGTCTCCGGGGGGGTCGGTGCAGCTGGGGCCCCGCTGCTGGGCTGTGCCGGTGGGGAGAGGCCATGACCTGCTGGGCTCCAGCTCCCCCTGGCCAGGAGGCCCTGGGCTTGGTGGTGCTGGGCTTGGTGGAGATGTCTCCCCTCTGTACATAGTCTGTATTTATCAATAAAGCCTTTTCATCCTTCCCCTGTCCCTGGGGCACGCTGGGGGCCTGTCACCTGCAGCCCCAGGAGGTCCCAGTGCCTGTCCTACGTCTGTTTCCCATGTCAGCATGGGCACCAGGAGATCCTGGTGGTCCTGCCTCTGCTCCCTGGTGCCACCCTGTCCCGCCAGCCCTAGGTGCTCTCCCTGCACCCTTCCCCAGAGCTGCTGGCATTGTCCCACTGCCATCCTGCCTGCGTGCTGGGGAGGGTGGCCACCACCTCCCTTCCCGGGTGCTCCTCTCTGGAGGTTTCAGCCCGTGTCTGTCCCGGGGCCGGGTCGGATGGTTCCAGGAGCACCTTTGCAGCTGCCGTTGCCCATCTGGGTGAAAACAGCACGTTTCTGCAGCCGGAGGCTGGGACACCCAAGGGTGTCGCTGAGAACTGCCCCGAAGGGTGACAGTGACGTGTCACCATCTGTCTTTCCCCCAGGTCTTGTGCCGGGAGCCGGTGCCCAGCGCATTAACTGTCCCGGCACAGGGAAGCACCGGCCTCATCTTACAAAGGGGGAGAGCAAAGCCCAGGGGGGCCTGAATGATGTCCCCGCTGCCAGGAATAGCTGCCGGCTCTGCCTGCTGGCCCCACGTGAGGCTGGCCGGGCTGCCCGTGCGTGGCGGGGGAGGCCAGGCGCCCACCGGGACCCTGGCAGGGTTGCTGGGGATGCTCCCCACCTGAGGTCATCCTCCAAAGTGGTGTGGATGGGCTACAGCTCCTGCTGTCACATGCTGCTGGCTGAGAGGTTTGGGGGGGCCCCATTGCCTGCCTTCGTGGAGGGCAGCAACCCCCACCACCACCCCCCCTGGGTGTCAGGGAGCCGTGGGAGATGCCGGTGGGTGCTGCAGCATCTGGTTGCATGGGGATGAGGTGACAAGAGACATGGGGAGCATCCCAACCACTCGGGGCAGGTGGCACAGGACCCATGAGGTGACCCTGTCCTGTGTCCCTGCTCTACTGAGCCTCTCTGGAGCAGCTGCTATGGACTGTGGGCACCCCAGCTCCCCACAGCCTGCGTGGGGGTCCTGGGCAGCCTGTGGGGGGGCCGTGGGTCTCTTTAAGAGGGTGCCAGACCAGGGAGGTGAGCCAGGGCCACCAGAAAGCAGGAGGGTGAGCTCATGGCAAAGCTGCCCCAGTCATGTGGAGCAGCCACAGCTGTCGGTGCCCTTGGGCCGTGGGACAGAGGGGCCGGGGACATAAAGCCCCACGGCCAGCGGAGCCGCCGGCAGCATCGGGAGCCAGGGCTGGGTGCTCCCTGCCCGTGGCGGTGGGGAGGAGAAGACATATCCTGCACGGGGTCCTGCGCTGCGGGCAGACATGGAGCTGGCAGACATGGAGCTGGATGTGCAACGGGCCAAGGAGATCATCGAGCAGAAGCTGGCAGAAGAGGAGGAGGAGAAGAAGGTGGGTCCGTAGGGCAGGACCACCTGCCCGGGCTGCAGCAGGGACCTGCCTTGCGCTGTCTCCATCCTTAGGGACTCGGATGTGAGGAGGCTGGCAGCAACCCTGCCATCCCGGGGGACGTAGCAGGGTGGCCAAGGGCTCTCAGGGGCATCAGGTTCCACACCCGGGAGCTCTTGCCCGAGGCAGAGCCAAGCAGCAGGCAGGTGCCCAGCTTGTCAAATAGGGCGGGTGGGCAAGCACAAGCCCAGGGGCTGCTGGGCATCCTGTAGGCTGGGGACAGAGGTGGTGGGGTGGCTCTGTGCCCACCCAGGACCATGCAGCCCCCCCACCCCTCACCCCATGCCCACGCAGCAACTCCAAGTGGATGGCACACGGGAGCCACCGGCCGTGGAGCGGATGAGCACACCTGAGCTGGAGGAGGAGAAACACCGTGGCCCCAGGAACCGGGGCCTCGAGGCCGTTAAGGTGAGGGGTGTCGGAGTGTTGGGGGGCCCGGGCACAGCTGGGCATGGAGAAGACAAACGGGGTGCTGCACGTTGCTCCCCCCAGGGCCAGGAGCGGGTGCGGAAGAGCTCGGTGGACCTGCGGCGGGAGATCATCGATGTGGGGAGCATCCAGCGCCTCATCGAGCTCCGCAAGCAGCGCCGGCAGCGCCGGGAGGAGCGGGCGGCCACCCCCGAACCCCCCCCGCCACCTGAGCCCCTGGAGATCGTACGTCAGGGGATCCCAGGGTGCGGGAGGGGGGCTGCTGGGACAGAGGCTGGAGCCCCCACGGGCCAGCCCTTGGGTCACCCTGCCAGCTGGGAACCTCCCTGGGGAAGCAGGGTAGGGGGCCTCCCGTGTCGTCCCCCCTCCTGCACCCCTGGGGTGCCCCAGCCCTGAGCCCACCCTGCCACCAGGATGGTCCCGTGGAGCCAGAGACCTTCCTGCGAGCCGCCGTCCAGGGCAAGATGCACATCATCGAGAAGTTTCTGGCGGATGGTGGCCCCCCCGACACGTGTGATGAGGTAGCATCCCACCCCCCACCTGCCACCGTGCCGTGCCATGCCCCCCGTGCCTGCTGGTGGTGGCTGCTCCCCCCGCCCCGGGATGGGGTACAGCCAGGAGGGGACAGGGAAATGGATCCCATCACCCAGGGGGCACCTCATCCCCCAGTTCCACCGCACGGCCCTGCACCGCTCCTCGCTGGAGGGACACATGGACATCCTGCAGAAGCTGTTGGACAGTGGGGCCACCGTCGACTTCAGGGACCGGGTGAGGCCAGACCCTGCCCCCGGCTCCGTGCCAGCCCAAGCCTCCGGGCATGGCATGGCTGGAACAACAGTGGTGCTGGGGTCCCTGCAGTGGAGCTGTGCTGTCCCCACGGCTGGGGTGGCCACAGGCAGAGCTCTGCCAGCCCAGCCTGGGCACGGGGACCAGCTGGGGTGGGGAATGGACACGGGGTGGGGGTTTGTGATGTGATGTGGCTCCGTGTGTGCAGCTGGACTGCACCGCTGTGCACTGGGCCTGCCGGGGAGGGCACCTGGATGCCGTCAAGCTGCTGCAGGACCGCGGGGCAGACCTCAACCTGAAGGACAAGGTGTGTGGGGCAGAGCCTGAGGGTACAGGGCTGTGCCAGGGGGCATGGGTATGCCCGGGGAGCCAGAGCTGGCCCTGTGCTGGGCGAGCAGGGGTGGGTGCTGATTCCCTCTGGTGTCCATCTCCTTTCCCCAAAGCTGCTCAGCACCCCCCTCCACGTTGCCACCCGGACCGGGCACCCTGACATTGTGGAGCATCTCATCCACTGCGGCGTGGACATCAACTCCCCGGACAGGGTGAGTGCCGTGGCCGTGCAGCCAGCACTGGGAGGGCAGCCCTGATCCCTCCTCCCTCAGCTGACCCCTCCAGGGGCTCCCAGCACCCGCAGCAGGGCACGTCCCTGCCCTGGGGTGCCAGCAGTTGCAGCCAGGGTTGGGGTGGGCATCGTGTCCCTTATCCCCATCAGACGGTGGGTGTGCAGGGAGCTGGGGAGCAGGGCTGGGGATGGGCAGGGTGTCCCTGTCCCCAGCCAGGCTGTGTCTCTGGCAGGAAGGCGACACAGCGCTGCACGATGCCACGCGGCTCAGCCGCTATAAGATCATTAAAATGCTGATCCTGCACGGGGCCGACATGATGGCCAAGAACCAGGTGAGCGGTGGGGACCAGCACAAGGGCCACTTGCTGCCCCACCACCACCCTGCACCACCCTGGTCCCAGCCTCCCTCTGCTCACTCTTGCAGGCTGGCAAGACCCCGACGGACCTGGTGCAGCAGTGGCAGGTGGACACACGCCAGGCGCTGGAGACCAAGGAGCAGCCACAGAGGGAGATGGAGGTCCTTGCGTGATGGCGCTGGGCAGGGACCAGGGGGCTGGGCTTGGCTCCACAGAGCAAGACCCAGCCAAGACTTGTCTGTGTCTTAGCTGATATGGTTTAGTGATGGGGTTTTTTTGTCATTGTTACGTTGGTGGTTGGACGAGATGATCTGAAAGGTCCCTTCCAACCCAAACAATTCTGTGATTCTACGATTCTGTGTCAATAAAAGCCAACAAAGAGCAGCGTTTGGCTCTGGGGAGCTGTGGGGCTGGGTTAGCCAGCAGCGTGGACATCCCCTGCCTCCTAGAAGAGGGACTCCTGTGGCAGTGACATCGTGGGGCCAGGACAGGAGTGGTCCAAGGGTGGGACTCCTCACTGTGGGATGCCCTGGTGGCTGGCAGAGCTTCAAAGTCCCACCTGGGCAAACTCAGGGAGGACGAGGGCGTACTGGAGGTTGCATTGGGAGAACAGCAACCTGACCCAGCTGGAGCCATCCCTGGGGAGACACAGCGGCCCCTTTTTTGCTGAGTCTTATGCTCATTGCTCCCTTCCCAGAAATGCTCCCGCTCGCCCCTTCGGGCGAGCGGGAGCATTTCTGGGGAGGGAGCAATGAGAACTAGAGGCACTCGGTGAGCACCCCTTTACAGGGGAGAGCGGGAGCATTTCTGGGGAGGGATCATCATCACCCAGAGAAGACAAACACTCCCCACAGCCCTGGGACCCCCTGCAACGCCTGGTCCCTTCCTGGCCCTGCAGCCCAACCCCATGGGTGGCGGACAGATGGCTTCCAGGGCTGGCAAGCGGAAGGGAAAGCAACCAGGGCTCGTTTTAGAGGGGGTGCCGAGCTCCTGTGGCCAACTCCTGGAGGGGAGAGAGCACCCTGAGCTCACCCAGTACCACCCCCATCCCCCACCGGGTCGCAAGTCCCTCACGTGCCCCATCAAACATTAACAGCCCCTCAGCAGGACGTGCAGCACGGCCGGCAGCAGCACCACCATGGTGGTGCTCAGCGCCCGTCTCCTCTCTCCCCTCCTGCCCACCCTGGCAGCTCTGTGCCGGGCACCCCCACGGCAGCACCGGGGGCTCAGCAGCCCCTCTGGATCGGGGCACTCGCTCAACCTCGGGGGCATCTTCCCACCCCTCGCCACCCCCTTCTCACCCATGCAGGAGGTGGACTATGCCCAGCTGGAGGGCAACCTGCGCCGCTACGCCAGCATCCCCTTCCGAGGTAAGCGCTGCCCCTCTCCAGGCGGGCTCCTGCCAGACCCCTGCCTGCCCCAGGGGCTGCGTGGCAGCGGGCAGGCAGCCTGACGGCTTCCCAAGGGTGCTCAGCCCCTCGGGTGACACACCTGGGGCCCTTCACACGGCCAATGCCCAGGCACACGCGTGTGTCCTTGCACACACTCCTCCCACCACACTCCAGTGCGTGCTTGCACACACACTTCACGTGTGCAGGCTTGTAAATATCATAGAATAGAATCATAGGATGGTTAGAGTTGGAAGGGACCTTAAAGACCATCCAGTTCCAACCCCCTGCCCTGGGCAGGGACACCTCCCACCAGACCAGGTTGCTCCAAGCCCCATCCAGCCTGGCCTTGAACCCCTCCAGGGATGGGGCAGCCACAGCTTCTCTGGGCAACCTGGGCCAGGCTCTCACCACCCTCACAAGAAAGAATTTCTTTCTGGAATCTCATCTAAATCTCCCCTCTTTCAATTTAAAACCATTACTCCTCATCCTATGGCTCCACTCCCTGACCAAGAGTCCCTCCCCATCTCTCCTGTAGTCCCTTCAGGTACTGGAAGGCCGTTAGAAGGTCTCCCCGGAGCCTTCTCTTCTCCAGGCTGAACACCCCCAACTCTCTCAGCCTGTCCTCACAGCAGAGGGGCTCCAGCCCTCTGAGCATCTTCATGCCCCCCCCCACTGGACCCGTTCCAAGAGGTCCATGTCCTTCCTGTGCTGAGGACTCCAGAGCTGGACACAGCACTCCAGGTGGGGTCTCACCAGAGCAGAGCAGAGGGGTAGAATCCCCTCCCTGGCCCTGCTGGCCACACTTCCTTTGATGCAGCCCAGGATGTGGGTGGGTTTCTGGGCTGCCAAGCGCACATTGCACTGGCATATCCTTCCAGGATGGGGTTGGCTTTCTGGGCTGCCAAGTGTGCATTTCACTGATATATCCTCCACACACAGCTGCAGGTTTGCACCTCCCCTCTCTGCCCCATAGCTGTGCTTGCCTGGCTGCAGGGACAGGGACAGGAGAGGGCACGGTGTGGCCTGGAGAGCTCTGTCTGTGCTCCCAGGGGCAAGGAAGAGAGGGAGGATGATGGGGACACCCAACCCTCCTGGCACCCTGGAGCCCTGGATGCTGGCAGCACTGGGCTGGAGCTGGCCCCTCTGTGCCGGTGGCACTGGCAGGATACCAAGGAAAGGGTCTGTGTGTCCCAGCCAGGGACAGGGTGGCACATTCTGGCTGCAGTCACCAATAAACCCTTTGCTGGTGATGCTGTGTGGGGCAGGTCCTGGGGATGGAGTGTGCTCAGCCCACAGGGTGCGTGCATGGCACGCAAGAGGGTGCCTGGGTAAGGGGTGGCACCACCATCCCCTGCATCAGTGCAGGGAGGCTGGGCACTGTCATCTGGGGGACACACACCAACCTGTGCCCTTTGTGGGGCACCCCAGGGATTTGCGTGCCACCCATGGGAATCTCCTGGCCCCAGGGGGCTGCTGGACACTGGCATCAGGCTGCTCTCAGTGCCTGGTGTCCACCCAGAAGTGGGGTGTAGGGAGGGCAGGGACAGCCACCCTGTGGGCACCCTGCTCCCGTGCCCAAGCGCTGCCCTGCCCACGCTTGTGTTTCAGGGCTGGTGGTACTGGGCTCCAACGGGGAGTACCCCTACCTGGCACCCCGGGAGCGGCTGGAGGTGGTGAGCTGCGTGCGCCGGGCTCTGCCCAGGGACCGCCTGCTGCTGGCCGGCTCGGGCTGCGAATGTGAGTGCCCACACGGGCAGCATGGGGGCTGTGCCTCCCCTCCAAGGGCTCCCCTCACCCCTCTGCCTCCTCCCCAGCCACCCAGGCCACCATCGAGCTGACGGTCAGCATGGCAGAGGCAGGGGCTGACGTGGCGCTGGTCGTCACACCCTGCTATTACCGGGGAGGCATGACCAGCGCTGCCCTGGTCCAGCACTACACGGAGGTGAGCCGTGCCCCGTGCCCACTGGCAGTCCCGGCTGGGACAGCGGGATGGGGAGCATGTGCCTCCTGTCCCCAACCCACCCCAGCTGCTGAGCTCTGCCCGGCTGCCCACAGGTCGCCGACGCATCCCCCATCCCCGTGGTGCTCTACAGTGTCCCTGCCAACACCGGCCTGGACCTGCCCCTGGAGGCCGTCCTCACCCTGGCTCAGCACCCCAACATCGTCGGGATCAAGGACAGCGGTGGGGACGTGAGTGGGGCAAGGCTTTCCTGGGGCTGGCTGCCACCAAACCTGGCCCTGAGCTGGGACCAGAGGAGCTGGCACTTGCAGCCCTTCCATGGGCCTCGGGGATGCCGCACGACACCCATGGGGGGTGATGTGGTAGTGCCCACCCTGGGGCACAGCATCTCTCTCCCCAGATCACCCGCATGGGGCTGATGGTCCACAAGACACGGCAGGAGGATTTCCAGGTGCTGGCGGGATCGGCTGGCTTCCTGCTGGCCAGCTATGCCCTGGGTAGGTGCTGCAGCCCCTGCTGGGCCCGGGGGCACGGTGTCCTTGTCCTTGGGTAGGGACTGGCAGCCATGCAGGGGGAGGCAGGCGAGAGGTGGCGATGCCTGGGAAGTGCTGGCTGGGCACAGGATGCCAAGCTGGCTGCCAACGTATTGGTGTCCCCAGGTGCCTCTGGGGGGGTCTGCGCCCTCGCCAATGTGTTGGGGGCCCCACTGTGCCAGCTGGACCGTCTGTGCCGGGAGGGCCACTGGCAGGAGGCCCGCGACCACCCGCATGGGGCTGATGGTCCACAAGACACGGCAGGAGGATTTCCAGGTGCTGGCGGGATCGGCTGGCTTCCTGCTGGCCAGCTATGCCCTGGGTAGGTGCTGCAGCCCCTGCTGGGCCCGGGGGCACGGTGTCCTTGTCCTTGGGTAGGGACTGGCAGCCAGGCAGGGGGAGGCTGGCGAGAGGTGGCGATGCCTGGGAAGTGCTGGCTGGGCACAGGATGCCAAGCTGGCTGCCAACGTATTGGTGTCCCCAGGTGCCTCTGGGGGGGTCTGCGCCCTCGCCAATGTGTTGGGGGCCCCACTGTGCCAGCTGGACCGTCTGTGCCGGGAGGGCCACTGGCAGGAGGCCCGCGACCTGCAGCACCGGCTCATCGAGCCCAACACGGCGGTGAGCGAGCATCGCCCCCCCGGGATGCTGAGGGGTCGGGGTGCTGGGACTGGGGGCATGGCAGAGCTGGGGGCAAAGGATGGAGGTCCCTAGGGCTGGGGGGGGGGTTGGAGGGGTGGTCCAGGGGGGACAGGATGGCACAGCACCCAGTTGGCGAGCCAAGCCGGGCTGGAGGCAGTGGGGTGGGGAATGCCAGCCTCGTCGTGCCAGGAACAGAGTGTCCACTGGCAGCAGGCACCTGCCTGCCCCCCGGCGGGAGCCCTGCTGGCTATTTATAAGCGGTGATGTGGGGAAGAGCTTCTCCTCCTCCTCCCCCAGGCCCCCACCGCGCTGCAGGGTGGCCCATCCCTGCCACAAAGAGCTTGCTGTGCCCCAGGGATGCTCCCCAGCCTGGCCATGCTCTGTGCCCTCACCCCCCGTGGGGGGGCTCTCCATGGGGGGCTGCAGCCACTCTGCCCCCTGCCCAGCCCTGCAGCCCCCCATGGGGCCGGGGTGGGAGCCCAGGGAGCCAGCAAGGACCCCCCCCCCCCAACCCTCCTTCCCGCAGGTCACACGCCAGTTTGGGATCCCGGGGCTGAAGAAGGCCATGGAGTGGTTCGGCTATTATGGGGGTCCCTGCCGCGCCCCCCTGCCCCCCCTGAGCCCCACACAGGTTGAGGAGCTAAGAGGCACCTTCAGAGCCAACGGCTGGCTGTGAGGGCTCTGCGCTGGGAAGGCATGGGAGCCAGGGACCCCGGGAGCCGGGGACGTGGTGGGGCCACTGGGATGTGGCCAGGAGAAACCCACCCCCCCCTCCTTCCTGCCCTGAGCAGAGCGGGCAGGGGGGATGCCCAACACCCCCCCGGCCACCTCTGCGTCCCCCACCAGCCCTCAGGATCCTGCCATCCCCACCTGGGAAGGAATGGATCCCGGGGCTGTGAGCCAGGAATAAACCCACTGTTTCCCCCCCCCCCGTGTCTGCAGTCCTGCCCGTGCACGCAGCCCCCCGCCCCAGTCCCTGCTCCTGGCAAAAAAGGACACAGCCCTGGGTGTTTGGCAACGTGGTTTACTCAGCTGAGGCCCATGCAGGCGGCAGCGCAAGGCAGGGTCACGGCAAGGCACGGGACCGGTGCGGGCACAGACTGGCAGGGGGGGCACGGCCCCTGCAGCCCACTCCCAGGCTGCGAGGGCTGCCGGGACCCCCGTGCCACGGCCAGCCTGACCCCACCGGGGGTGAAGGTGAGCACACAGCAGGGAGATGAAGGATGCATGCGGGGGGAGGGGGGTAAGACGGGGAGCCGTGTGCCCCCTGCCCACCCTCTCTGCCCCCTCACCATGCCCCTATCCCCTCCTCAGGCCCCCTGCTCCAGCCCTGCTCGTGCCCCTCATCCCAGGCTCTGGCTGAGCCTACTCCTTGCTCGCCATCACTCCTGCCTGCTCCCGGTGCGCAGCTGGCACAGGCCAGTCTGGGCATCCCCCCGACCCCCTTGGCAGGGATGCTGCTGCAGATGTCCCCTAGGGCAGTGGGTGGGCTGGATTGGCACAGGGATGAGGGGGGCACAGCCCCATCAGCTGGCCCCAAGAGCAGGCTGGGTCCTTTGGAGGCACCACGTCACCCTGCCCAAGGCAGGCCAGGGGATGGGCGGCTACCCGGAGCCGAGGGCACAGGCCAGGGGGTGCCCACCCTGCCTCAGGACCAGGGTAAGGGAAGAGAGCCAGGAGCTGCCCCTCTGCGGGCATGTGGTCCAGCCAGCAACCCACGGCCAAGGCACCCTGGCAGTGGGGTCAGGGCCCAGCCCCAGCCCCTACGCCCCAACTCTGTCCCCCGTGGCTGGCTGGCAGTCCCGGTGGGCTGCAGCCTTCCCAAGGGGGCAGAAGGGCTGGGCCCTGGCTGCTCCAGCGGGTGCCAGGGCTACAGTCAGAGAGAGAAGGCACCACGGCACTTGGGTGGAGAGCGGGGGGGCCCTGTCCCCCCACTGGCAGGGGTTCAGCGAGGGGGCTTGGTGTGGGCACCTGGCCCCGCCAAGGCTGGGCGGCCGGCAGGCAGAGGGCAGGGAGACACCCAGCGGTGTCACGTCCCCGGTCCCAGGGGAAGCGGGGCCAGCCAATGCCCAGTGTGGGGGTCCCCACCGCAGCGGGAGGGGGGACGCAGGGCATCGTCAAGCCATCAGGTTGTGGGCAGACTTGGAGGCGCCCTGGGCCCTCTGGATGATGGCCGGACACTTCTCCCGCCGCAGCAGCTTGTTGTTCTCGAAGAAGCCCTCGTTGCGGGGCACCCCGTGCGAGCCGTCGGGGAAGGTCAGGAGACCTGGGAAGGGAAGGGCCAGGAGTGATGGGATGGGGGAGCAGCACCCACCGGGGCTGGGGGGGCTGGAGGGACGGAGGAGGAGATGCCGGATGGGGGACGTGCTGAGCCGGGACCCCGCGGGGCTGTGGGTGCCACACTGCTCTGCCGGGCACTCACCAAAGCCATACACGCGCCCGCCTTTGAACTCGCCCTCAAAGGTCATGTTGTCGCAGCGGGTGAAGACGCCGACGCCGTTGAACTTGCCCTGGACAAACTCCCCCTCGTACCTGTGCGGGAGCAGCTCCTGAGGCAGCAGCTCCCCGGGGCAAGGGGGGGTGCCCAAGGTGGGGGTGCGTACATGGGGGTGCCATGCTCACCTGGAGCCGTCAGAGAAGGTGAGCACCCCGCAGCCGTGGAAGAGCCCGTTCTCAAAGTGCCCCACGTAAGCGGTGCCATCAGCGAAGGTCAGCTGCCCGACGCCGTGCCTGCGGCCTAGGAGAGGACAGAACATGGAGATGGATGGAGAGAGGCAGGGATTGCCCCAGCGTGGTGCTGGGCAGGGACGGGGGGGCTGCTGGGACCCCGGCGCAGGCAGCACCACCCCCTCCCACCCTGTCTCACCTTCCTTCCACTCGCCGCGGTACTCCTCGCCGTTGGAATAGGTGAAGGAGCCTTTGGTGAGGGTCATGGCGACAGCCTAAGGCAGCGCAGGACAGGAGCTGGCAGGGAGAGGGGCAGAGGGGGCTGCTGGGTGGGGGGCAGAGCCCAGGGTCATCCAGCACCCCCCACGTCCCCTCGGCTCACTGGGAGACACGGCTCTGCCCGGGGGATGGCTCTGCAG